CTGTGATGCGGTTTTGCTTTTATGCGCTGCTGACGCTAAAATGTCATGAAGTCACGCTCCTTCGGGTAACTAGAAGCGAGGTGACGGTGTTCCGGACGTCGTGTAAACCCAGGGAATTAGCAGAGAAAGTTAATATATTCTTACTGGTGGCATCGAAAATAAACAGTGTGCTATTTAACCTAATAAAAGTTCCGTAGCTATTTCTTTGTAAATTTGACTTGAGAATGCTGGTCTCTTGTTTGGACATATGATTACGTGGAATGGAAGCTGGGAACCACGCGCCTTGATGATCACGAAACTGTAGAAATTGCCTTCTGAAACAAATGGATGTACCATAACTGATGGGTGGTATCATAACTTAGATCAGTGTTGCATAATTAGCTCCATGAAAAAAAATGGGTCAAGGATGTTCCAGCCATGGAAACTTGCGGGATACCTTTGTTTTCCAATGGTTGCAAAATTGTTCGTTTTTTGCTTGCATACGTTTCAAAAAGAGATAAAATTTGTTAGATATTACTTCACCGAGCTTTTCCTAAGGTGTTTATCCTCGCTTAAGTGACGGAAATGCATTATTTTTCCAGACAGTATCTGGACTGTATTCTACGTGGCCTAAATTCGTAGTTTTAAAAGCTACATAGATTCGTGTTTTTTCCATTTCTTTTCACCCTTCGATTGATTGATGTGTTCGTGCGTTTGAGTTCACACTGAAAAATGAAAAATCTATAAAAACGGTTTGCTACGCAAACAAATAATTTGATCAGTCAGGCGATGGACAGGTACTGAAATTTCGGCTCGTTTCTTGCGAACCTTCTTCAGGGTGGTTTGCAACGGTTGTGACATCTGGAGTCGTTTGTATGCGTTGTGAATAAATAAATCGTTTTAATGCATTTTTTCAGATTTTTTCTCCTCATTTTATCTCAAGGTTTGTCTTGATCGAAGCGTGGAAACCTGAATTGCTGACAAAATGCGGAACAACGTGTATTAACTTTCTCGTCGGTGGTTAGCGGTGCATCAAAATCCTTTCTCAGTCTTTTCATCAAACGGTGGATTCTTCCTCTTTTTTCATCTATACCCTTTATTTTTTTATCCTGATCTTCGCTTTCTGCAAGTGATCCTCGAGTTGACCGGCACGTAATGGCTAATTCGATCTTGTGTAATGCATCCTGAAAGATTGCTTGTCTGCTCTTCGGCTCCGGGATTCTCTTCAACAACAGCCACCCGCTTCATTCGGCTCTGTCGTCTTCCATATCCTTATATCCCGGTACGCGATAAAAAATAATGAACTTATACTGTGGGACGGAACTGAGACGTAATTCAATCGTTCAAGTCTTGACTTGCATCTTGAAGCACCCAATGCGTCTAAACAGCTACTTCGTTTGCCTACCTGTTAATGTGTACCTATGCGTGTCGTATTTTG